GAGCTAAAAAGCAGCAGAGGGGATTTGAAAGTGTCATGCTTTATGGAATAAATTATTTTCACGAAATGCAATTTGACAATCTTTGGTTCAAAACATTTGGATATTTCTTATACCTTAACCCAATACGCTATAAAATCCTTCTGCTTAATCTATAACTTGTGTTTCTGATTACAAAGTTTCTAGTGATTAATCAGTTGCAGGAGTACATTTGCAACTGTACTGTTTCTTACTCAAGCAGGGATTTATAAGTATAGTTCAAGTCTCCTGAACTTCACAAATGAGCATAGTATGACTGACCTCTCAAAGGTTATCTAGCAGTTAATGAAAATAATACTAATAAGTGCTATAAGAAAGATATGTATTTGAAATGGTGTGTCTTATGTTTAGTTTACTTTTAACTTTTTTGACCAGGTAATGTGACATGATTCAACTACCAAGAAATATAGTTTGTTAATTTTGATGCAGTCATTTCCTGAAGAGTTTTCCATCTGATAATGAGTTTTGATTTGGGTTGTTTTGTTTTTTGAGACAGGGCCTCACTGGGTAGCTCTGGCTGGCCTCAAACTCACAGCAATCATCCTGTGTCAGGCTCCCAAATGCTAGGATTATGGGCATGTTTCACCACACCCAGGGATGATGATGATTTTTTTTCTATGCAATTAGGCAAACATTTACCTGAGATCCTACTAAAAGGTTTAGTAACCAACTGCATTTTACTAGATGCTACAGTAGTGAACTAGGCTTTGAACAGATAAGCAAAGTTGTTAAAATATCATTTGAAGACTACCTTTCAGTTAAACTCAGGACTTCATGATTACCAGGCATGCACTGTACCACTGATATATATGTATGTATCCTCAGCCCATACCTTTATGATTCTTGTCGTATTTTCTTACTTCTTATTACTTACTTATTTTCTTATGATTTTATGTAATTATTTCTTTTAAAATGAATCACTTTTTTATAAAAATATTGAATTATTTGATCTCCTTCTTGAGCAAAATACTTAAAATCATGAAGTACTGTCTCTAAATAGGCCAAATTTACACCATCTGTCACTCTCTCTCCTACAGTCTCTTATGGACACAGGGCCATGCTGCACAGATTGGTCTTTGAGGGAAGTCAGCCCCTTCCAAGTCTGCAGACTGACAGCCCTCTAGGCTGAGATCACACATCCTTCCTGATTCTGGGACCCAACAGAGGCAAGAGTAAGATAGGACTGTCCTTTTCAAGTGATGAGTCTCAATTCTGGCACTATATACTTCAAAGCCTTCCCCAGGAGAATCCAAGGCTAATGTAAGCCTGCTTTGTACTTTGACTTTCCTGCCCAACTTTGCTGTTTGCTCTTTCCTTTCTAAATTGCTAATTCCTAACTAGTAATTTATACCTAATCTTCATGTGAGCATTTGTTTTCAAAGTTACCAACCATCAATACCATACTCAGGGAAATACTATCCTAAATCATTTTCTAAGGGCAAGTGTCAAAAGGGCTTCACAACAACTTTAAAATATAGTATGCACTTTAAAAATAAAGGCCATTATTTTGATTTTATGCCATTGAAGGCAATTTGACGCTTTTAATACAAGGTGCCCCAAACTCTTGGTGCAATTTTAAGTCATCAAGTAGTGCTAAATGTACTAGTTATTTATGAATTGTGAAAATACAAGAGCTATTTATGTCGTTTAAAATCAAACTAAAAAAAAAAAAAAGACAAATTAAGGAAAAAGAAAATTTGAATTCCAGAACAAATGCTGTTCCAAAAAAATGGATTATACTATTTTATAACTATATTCACACACTAATAAATGGAAGAACTTTTATCTGTTTAAAAATCTCTCCCATATATGGAGAAGCAAGCAAAAAGAGAAACCCCTAGTCCATTAAGCATGTATGTGAAACTGCTATAAAAGATCTTATTTGACACTCATCGATATAATAATTACTGCTTATATTTCAAGATTCAGGACAACTGTCCTGTTTTGAGTCAGAGTGAACCAACACATGTGCATCAGGAGATGCTGTTTAATTAGAGAATGGTTAAAGGATAAACGGTTCAACAAAATCTTACAATGCTGAGACTGCAATAAAACTAGGTGTTTGGAAGGACACTTAATTTAAACGTAAGTCTCCTGTGTTACCTTTTATAGCTAATCATTGAATAAAGATCGTTGTTTTCTAAAATGTCCTACGATAGGAATTGAGATGTTTGTTATTGATTTCTCTACACTTAGACAAGATACTTCCAATCAAGTCGGTTTAGGGCAGGGCCTAGAATTCTGTACTGTATTATTAACACAATCTTAAGTGCTGGTTGTATTCAGACATTTGGAAAAACATCAAATTAAAATATATAATTGTTTAAAACATTATTTTTCTTTTAACAGTCATCCATTCCTGCTTGGAGATCTACATAGGAATATATGTTTGTATACAGCTGCAATAACACTGTGAATGAGACCACAGTCCACTACTGAATGATTTTGTAGTCCAGTTGGCTTCATGCTGTTTTAACAGATTATTTTCTAAATCCTGATCAGATATCTGACAAAGCAAAACAAGTAACTAGTTGCAAAGAAAACTGACGGCTCCTAAATTGAAAAGTTCAGGGAATGGATTTACAGGTTGTTAGTGATAGAAGTTTGCCTGCCTAGCATGTCCAAGGCTTTGAGTTTGATCTCAAGCACCAAACCAAAACCAAAACCAATTAAATGTATCATCTCTGTTAGGCAAGTACAACTTTAAAAATCAAACCACAAAATAGTGTTCTACTTTTAGGTTACAAAGTATTTTTAAACTCCCACTCTGTATTTGGTAGTGCAAAACTACCTTATATGTAAAAATATCTTGATCATTACTTTTGTAAACTGATACCCACCCAGAAAAGTGCTTGAACTGTGTGTGAACTTTTAAAATTTATTTTTAACTGATACATAAAAACAAAAATTATACATATTGGGCGGAGGTTTAGCTCAGCAGCATAAGCACCCACCTGGCAAGCACGAAGTCATGAGTTTGATCCCTGGTACCAAAAAAAAATGTTTAATACATGTAATATTTGTGAATTTTGCAAGATGAACATGTCTGTTATCTTGTTATGGTTTGTGTCTAAATGACCCCTTGGCACCTCATGCACTGGTGGTGGAGCTTCTGGGAGACGACTGGATCATGGGGCCTAAATGTGATGTGGGAGGTGAAGAGTCCCTAGGAATGTGGTCTGGAGCAGTGCATCTCCCTCCTCCCTTGATCCTTCAGCTTCCTGCTGCCATGCCATGAGCTGTTCCTTCTCTGCCACGCTGCCCTGCATAGGAACCACCTCACTGTACACAGAAACCAAGCCAAAATCTAACTCGTGGTGTTGGGTATTGTGTCTCAGTGACAAAAAAAAAGTAACTAAGACAGCTGGAACCTATCAAGACCCAAAACGTTATCAATACCCCAAAGCCTTCTTTATGCCACTGTCTGTTATTAACATCACCTTCTTCATGTGTTAGCCTGCTTCAAATGGAATACTACATTCTTGAACTTTATACAAATGGAATTATACCATGTATTCTTCATTTGGGTTCTTTAAATATTGTTTGTGAGACTCATGAATGCTAAAGAACTTCATTTCTGTACAGTATTTCATTGTGAGACGCTACCATAATTTACAGTTTTAACTATCATCTAGGAAACTTCCAGTTTGTTATTACAAATAATGCAGCACTGAACGTTTTAATACACACCCCCATCTGTCTACTGATAACCATAACTGCTGTGTGTGCTCTCTGCTCTTTAAAAAAAACACCTTTTCTCCTAAGAAGCCTCTCCAGATCCCTCTTATATTGCAGAACAATGACTTTCCAGTAACTGAGTGATTCTCTCTCCTGGGTTCTGAAGGTGGAGCTACTCGATAGCTGTGTCCCACCTTTATCTCGAGGGTACGCCAACTCAATCTCCCAGACAATTTTACATGGCCACCAATGCCTCATCTGCCTGTCTGCAAGTGCTGGCATTGGCTCTTCTGGTCTTTGTGGGAACAGCTTTCGATGGAAATGAGAGGAACTGGTTGCCAGTCAACCACCTGTTTCCTTGCTCCCAGGTGGGCTAACAGAGAGGTGTGTCCATTAGCTGCTCTCAGAACTCCCCAGCAGGATTGTGTGTCCCATACTTCAAACTGTTAACACACTGGATTACGAGCACTTTTACTGATTTTCTTCTACCTGTCCCAATTTTCTACTCCTCTATTGAATCTCCTGGGATCATCTCCCAAGTAAACTACTAAACTCAAGTATTTGTCTCAGTCAACTTCTGAGGGAAACTCAAACCTTTTAGAAGTTAGCATTTTATCACACTCCACTTGAGAAAGATGGTTCCCTTCTTCATGTTCATATAGCAATACATTAAAACTAATGTGCTGAAGACGCTGGGATATTGTCTCACGGGCTAAAAATTACCCATCTATTAATGAATAAACCTCCCCACTTGTAAGTGTTTCTCTACCTAAGTTTGGTATTTTACAGGAATACAGAGTTGTCCACTCCACACTGCTTCTTTACTCATTTGAAAATTATTAAAAATGTAACAGTCGAGGAAATAAAATATATCTTAGGTGACATATTACATTACTGTAATGGATGCTGCTACATTGTTACACTGAATTTAAAATCATATGGCTTGCAAAACAATGAATTGCAAGGCTTTAGTTCACTTGTCAAAAAGTAAAATAGTATCACCATCTTTATTTTAGAGGTGAATTTTAAGAAACCAAACACTTTTTCATTTTAAAGTAATACACAGAAAGAGTAAGATTCTGTATATCATAATTTGAAATCATTAAAGAACATGATTATAGATGTTTTACAGACTATAGTAAGGGTCCAATTCAATTTCATGATTTTTAAATAATAATTAATAAAGGAAGAAATAAAAACCATAAAGTTATGCTAAAACAATAATTCAAAATGATAGCATGTTTTCTAGTTGATCTTATCCCAACAAAAAAGCAAAAAAAGTTAAATTCATTTTATTCTTTCATAGATTTTTAATAATTTTATACATCTTTTAACATAAAGAGAATGAAATCTCAAAGGTGAGGAGCCAATATATATGGCTTCTTCTATTTGATCTTCAGGATGGAAGGAAATTTCCGAAGAGTACAGAGTGTGAGATTTAACACTGGAAAAATACATATGAAACTTGCTTCACTGGCTGCACTTAGGGGCAGGCACAGCACAATAAATAGAGAACTGCATAATCTTTTTGAAAGATTGCTTGTAACGTTAACACATTCTTTCTACAGAAATATTATCAATTGCCAACCTGAAATTCTACAACATACAGATGAAGGGACACAATGTTCTGAGCACAGTTTCTCTAGCATCTTCACATTCATACATCAACATTCTTAAAAGAAGTAAAAATATACATCTCAAATTCAGAACAATGAAAAATAAACTTGGTCAATTAGTTTCTTCATATCATTCATTATGACCATAATCTTTGTTTGTTGGTAAGTTTAAAGTAGGAAAAGCAAGTTTTTCAAATCCTTTTCACTTCACTAGTCTCAGGGCCTCTAGAAAAGAAGTGGTCTCCTTGGAAGCAAATTGATTAAGCAGCACCATTAGGTCTACATCTCAACAAATCACTGCATAATTTTTATCTGTCAGTATTCTGAAAGGTTAAAAAACAAGTTACAGAAGAATATCTTTCCTGAATAGGAGTCCACTGTAAAAACATGCAAAGTGCAAGAACTGCCATAAAACTCTGACTTCTCTACTGACTGCACCTTTCTTTATATCACCCAAAGAAAGTATTACATAAAAATTTAAATAATATCTGAGGCATAAAATAAATACTTTTATTTATGCTATTACATTTGTGTATTTGAGACTGTTAGACATGTTCACATATTCTTTCCTCTATCTAAAGAGGATGCAATAGTGCCAGCAATGTCCATCAAAAGACTTAATAGGAAACTTGATCTTAGAGCTACTCTCTAAGTGTGCCTTATTATTTTTAAACATATATTGAAAAGACAGGGTGAAATGATCTTTTTTTCACATGACCCGGATCCTAATACCAATCAATGTAAGTATTAATTTCATTCCCATTAAATGGAATGGAGACTATTATGCTGCTATAGCCAGAGATAGTCTGAGAAATTGTGAGACAATGAATGAAAAACTACACGAAAATAAAAATTTCTACAACTGATAAATCAGTTGTTTAAAAATTCTACAAGCAAACAAACATGCAAAGATGTGACACATGTCAATACTTTGTAACAGCACGCCACTCTGGCCCCAAGAATTGCCACAGCTCACCTGGTTCTTCCAGGCAAACAACCTTAGACTACTAGAACTATGTATCTTCTCAGTGGCATTTTACTGCCTATCCCACTGCAACATGCTTCTCAGCAGCTTAGGCTTATATGATGTTTGAGGAAAAGAAAGAGATATGATGTGGATCAAGTTTTTGATGATTTTTTAATTATATTTTTAAAAAGGATTTTCTAGTAATGAAGTATACCATAGTCCTTGATACTGAATGTTTTCTACTTTAAAAAATGATGTTAATCTAAGTTTGACTATCTGGCTCTTTTTCCCCACTTTTTTAGAGGGTACTGATTCATCAATTCTGGTGAGCCCTAAAAATGACTGCCTTAGAACAGCATAGTTCCCAACAGTTTCCCATAAATAGTCTTGATTTATAATGGAAAAGCAATGCATAATTGGAACATTAATCACTTACTTTTTAAAAAGTATTTCCTGCAAGATTACTTAGCAAAATGCTAAGTTACACATGGCCTTACCACATAGATACTGAGTTGTTTCACAAAGTACCTGTCAAAAGGTTTAGAAATCAGGCCTTCCATTCCAAATTCATTGCAAAGAGTGCACATGCAGTAGTCCTGTTTACCATTTAATGGAGACTGAGGAAAGAGAAAACCTAGGACAAAGGAGGGCTCCACCCTCCATACACATTTATAGTAGTATAGCCATTGCATATCATTATTTACACATTCACCACTTCAGGAAAAAAGGATCAGGGAGGCCCGTCAAACAGTGCAACACAGGAATGTTTGTTTTAGAGAAGACCTACCAAATAAACAGCAAAACAATAACACACACAGCACTAGTCTCAAAGCTGCACAATAAAGCATCTGAGATGAGAAATTGACAAAAATATACACGTATGAGTTTGCTGAAGAAAAGGAGAAAAGAAATCACAGCTCTAATCTTCAAGGCTACGGAATGCATTCTGCATATCTTCAAGAAGTTGTGCATAGTCAGCTTTGATCTTTGCCTCACCATCTTTCACCGGATCCTGAAACACACATTACATATCCAATTTACTTGACTTAATAGATTTTGAGAATTAGGTTAAGTGAGGAATACTGGTAAACCATAAGCACTATCTTTATTTTCCTTCACAGGTTAAATGTATAAATGGATTCATATTCCAACCAAACCAAAAGAAAACAAAGTATCGATTTTATATTTTGCCTGTTAAACATTTATTGACTAAACCTCAACAATACGCATAACTAAGTGAGATTATACAGTATCACGTATTAGATGCATGTGACTGTGCATATGATAGCTGGGAATTAATCAAAATAAGAATTTATGATTAAGGTTTGATATTATAACACTGTGACAGAGAAGTAAAGTACAGAAAATAATTTAAAAACCCACTACATTTATAATCCTTATGAAAAGCAACTTAATCAAATAATACACATAAAAGAGACTAACATGTCAGGCTCAATGATAGTGTATTTGCCTAGCTTGCATGAGACTCTGGGTTTGATCTCTGGCCCCAGAAAAAAACAAAAATGAAAGGAAAACACTAGCATGTTCCAGCTTTTGGACCCAATCATTCATTCACAGCAGCAGTGGTGAACTCACATGTGTTATGTGGCACATGTGTTATTGTGTTTTTTCTTTTCTTTTTGTTTTTTATCTTTTTGAGACTGGGTCTCACTATGTAGTTCAGGTTGGCACTGAACTCACTATAGACTGGCCTCAAACTTGTAAGGATCCTTCTGCCTCAACCTCCTTAATGCTGGGATAACAGACGTGCTACCATGGCCAGGTTGTTTTTCTTTTAAGAAGAAAGATGCTAATGTAGTTGTGTTTTCTACACTAAAACACCAGTATTCAGGTTTAATAATAGTGTTGGTACTTTGCAATAAATAAGTGAGTGGGTAGCAGTTCTGTACCTGGTCTCTAAAAGGCTTACCATCACTGACTTAGAGAAATTTGTATTAGAAAAATAAACAAAACCAAGAACATGACCAGCAACATGACTGTTCACACCAATAACTGAGAATTTCCTAAATGCACAATAAGGAAATATTACTGTGTAGCTCCAAATAATGCTATGAAGAAAGTTTAATAACAAAACAAAATGCACCTCTGATGTTAATTTGATTCAATGAACACGTAACTAAATAGATTTCACCTTTAATCATACTACCAGAAATTATTACAGGCCTATTTTTTTCACCTTCTGATGAATATATAATTCTTTTTTTTTTTGGTACTGGGGATTGAACTCATGACCTTGTGCTTGCTAGGCAGGTGCTTACAGCACTGAGCTAAATCCCCAGCCCTGAATATATAATTTTTAAAGATAAAATTCAATGTGCATGTACCATTTTCTATGATGAATTTAATCAGGTACTACAAAGCATGTATTAATAAAAAAATTTTAAAACTTTTACCCTAAATTATACATAGAATTTTTGGTAACCTGACTTTATAATTCTATGCCATAAACATTTCTCTATGCCATTGGATATTTTTTGGGAAAAAGACACTAATGTTTTCATATATTTTATCTTATATTAATGCCATAATATGTTATTGGCTCAGTTCATTCTTGGATGACCTTTAAGAAATATCATAAACAACCACTAACATACATTCATATTGAAAGTCTCTGGAATAGGGGTACAGTTCAGCAGGAGTGCTAGACTATCATGTGCCAGGTCCTGGGCTCCCAACACAAAAGAAAGTATCTCTGATTATTTCCTTGGCTTATATATTTCAAAATGGAATGACAGGACCCAAAGGTTGTGAGTCTATATATGACAGAGTCTCACTATGTAGTTCACGCTAGCACTGAACTCACTACAGACTGGCCTAGCAGTGATGTTCTCCCTTAGTTTCCGACTGTCACCACATCCAGCTAAAATTTTTATACTAAACACTGGAGCCTTATTCTTAATAGGTGAACAGTAAACATTACTGGACATCATCACTTAGAAATATAATAAATACAACCAATTGTATTTGGTTGGTTTGCAACCAATTGATCAAGTATTTTTAAAACAACCTTATAATTTTAGTTTCTACTGGCAATTTCACTTAACTGTTTTTGTTTTTGAAAGAATACAAAGTCACTCAAAAGTTAGTAATTTGAGCTGAGCATGGTAACACATGCCTGTAATCCCAGTCTTCGGGAGGCTGCTATAAAGCCAGCCTGGGCTAAAAAGTGAGTTCTAGACCAGCTTGAACTGCACAGCGAAACCCTGTCTTAAAAAGACAAAAATTTAAAAGATAAAAAAGTAAATAAATAAAATATGGTGGCACATACTGGTAACAGCAGCACTCAGGAATGTGACAGGAGAATTAAGTTTGAGGTTAAACTGGAACACATAAAGACTTTCAGCTCAGCCTAGACTACTGAACCCGACCCTGTCTCAAAAAAAGAAAAAGGAGGGGAAAAAAATAGGAGTAATAGCTGGTATCTTAAAGAAATAAAACAGACGTCATTTCAAAATAATATGAGGGTTAAATGTTAATAGGTACTTAAGGTAACTGCTGTTCAACAAAGAATTTAGTCCTAAATTGCCTGCCAATTAAGACAAAAAAGAAAACACAGCATTTATTGTAGACATGACATACTATAATTTCTATGACTGAACACAACTTTGAGGCGTGTTCTGGTTTTCCATAGCCCTGAGTATGAGTGAAAGTGATAATTGTAAGTTTCATACCCCAGATCTGGAACTGAAACAGAAACAAAGAAACATTTGCTATTTTCAAAAGTTAGAACAGAAACAAAACATACCTTGAATTTCATGGAGGAAAGTTTGTAGAGGATCTCCCCCATGTGCTCACGGATAATGGACCATGTGATTTTACTGTCACTCTGGGCAGTGGTCTCCACAGCTCTGCGAGCCATATCATAAAATGCAATCATGTTGGATAGCATCCCTACTGTCTTATAGAATGGGCAGAACCTGGGACAAATGAGGGCCAGAAGAGTTAACAAAAACAAACCGTAAAGTAGGTTCACACTTACATGATAAAACTTTAGGTGTAAATACTTAGGCATTAGCTTCTTTATTTGAATATGCAAACTACTTATACTTATCGGACAATACATAAAGAATAAAAAACAAAGAAAAGCAAAGGAAAACAGTAACTGTTTAATGAGAGTTTAGGGACCAAGACATATCAATGTCTATGGCCTGGGATGAGTGGATGTGGAGCTATATAATCCTCTCACTTGTTTTAAAGGATAACGTTCATTTTTATCTGTTAAAATTATGTGGGAAGGGGCTGGGGATTTAGCTCAGCAGCACAAGTGCCTGCCAGGAAACAGTGAGGTCGTGAGTTCCATCCTCGGTACCAAAAAAGAAAAAAATATATAGGAAAAACAGTGAAACAGTACTGCCACGATACAAACCATTTCCAAGGGATGGTTTTTGTATCGTGTAGATTCCCTTGTGATAGTGGTTAAGGTTCAGTGAGCAACAGGAAAGCAGGAAACTGCAGGTTATTAAAGTTAATGTAGTTCCTTTCCTTCCAATGTCATTTTCACTTATCCATACCTTCTAGTAACAAAAATGTATACACACGCGCAACTACTCAGTCACACTTGTTCTCCTCGACCTTCTGATATGTTTGAAGACATCTGCACATCATTTCACACACACCTCTGTAACACCCTTTCCAAAGGACTTTTCTTTTACTGAGTTATGTTTGTATGGGTGTTTCCCAGAGCTTCTCACGTTCTTCATGCAGGAGATTTGCGAAGCTTAATAACACACTGGCACATTTTCTCCTTGCCTTACATTTTGGTTAACTCTTGCTTTTATTCAGTTCTTTCTTCTTTGGTTTTTATATGGAATCAAATATGAGTTGAGGGACAAAAGTAGCCCAGGGTGAAAGGGCTCAAATTCTCAAAGTTTAAAAGAAATAGGAACACTAAGCAACCCACAATAGTAGCAGAGATAGCAATGATGAGAAAGCCAGCACTAGGGAGGAGTGGAAAGAGCTGGCTGGGGGATGTAACAAAGACTTGGGGGGGAGGCAGGTGGGGGGGACACACATGAGGACTCTTGGGAAGTGAAGCAGGAAAGAAGAATATAATTTTTTATTTTTGGTGCCAGGAATCGAACTCAGGACCTTATGCTTGCCAGGCAGGCATTCGTGCCACTGAGCTACATCCCCAGCTCAAATATGTCTTTTTAGGCAAAGGGTAAAAGGCATGGGCAGTAGAAAACAATAGAGAAAGCTTCTAAAGGAGGCAATGATCCCTAAGATCTGCAAACTAAGTCACAATTAGGATAATCACAGATGGCTGTACAAACGGAAATAATGCCATAATTTGATCAATGAACAAACTGGGACGAGGAACATACTAAACTATTAGTATCTGCTATGAATATATAAAGGAAGCCAATATATTGAATTAAAATGTGTCTGTATGAGGCGAAAAAGTTTTCGGTGGGTAGACAGCACAATAGAAAATTTTCAAATAAAAAAAGAAATCTGTATAGCTTACCTGTCATAAGGAGTATACCCATTTTGTTGCAGAAAGTCATCTTTGATAAGTTTTGCTACCTCCAAAGTGATTTTATCTGTTTCTGCTAATGAAGCCTAGAAAAGAAAATTAGAAGTTTACTTCCATGATGTGGGACCAATGCTGATAACAAATTAGCAAGCCAAAATTATATCATCAATATAAGAGCTAGGGATATAGCTCAGCAGCATAAGCACCTGCCTGGCAAACCCAAGGTCATGAGTTTGATCATCTGGTACTGAAAAAACAACAACAACAACAACAAAAAACAATCAATACATAATAACCCATCATTAATAAATTCACTTTACAGCTACTTTTTGATTGTTCTTTTTAAATTTGACAAAAAGTACAAAATTTATCATGTGAACTACAAGAGTACTTACTGTTGAGTAGTATTAAGTCAGACTGCTGGAAAGAGATCTTCAAAATATTATGCACATCAGTATGTCCATAAATAGTAATTCCGCAATTCTACTTCACTTTTCTGTGATTTGACTATTTAGAGTCTCTATATAAGTGAAATCATATGGTATTTGTCTTTCTGTGATTGACTTACTTCACTTAGCATGACATTCTTACAGTTTTACCCATACTGGGTTCCTCTCACTCTTGACTATAGCAAACAGTGCTGCTATAACATAGGTGTGCAAACTGATTGACATTCTTTATTGGGAAATACTTCAAATTCTGGTTTGCTAACTTAATTTCGATTCTCAGTGTTTATTTGTGTGTGTGTGTGTGTGTGTGTGTGTGTGTGTGGTGTGTGTGGTGCTGGGGATTGAACTTAGGGTTACTACACCACTGAGCTACAATTCCAACCTTTTTCAGACAACATCTTGCAAAATTTCCCAGATTGGTCTTAAACCTGACATTCCCATTCTCAGCTTCTTTAATAATATTTGGGAACCTGGGCATAATATCACATCACTGATAGGCTCATTAATGAGTAAAGATGTCTTGGTAATTATGATTAAGTGACAGAACCAGTGGTTAACTGTACCTTAGTAGTACTTATTTGTAGTAAGCTCCTTAGGTAAGGATCAGATTTTTTTTTTTCTTGTTTTTTAAAAGAAAAAAATCTCTTTTAGGTCCAGGGATTTAGCTCAATGGCCTAAGTGTCTGCCTGGCAAGTGCAAGGGTTGTGAGTTCGATCCCTGGTACCAAAAAAATAAAAACAAAAACTAAAAATCCCTTTTACCTTCATTCCCTTCTTTAACTACAGGTAAATAGCAAAATATTTTATGTTTTGTATTATTTAAATTTATATGAAATGTATATTTTATTTTGTGCAGTTTGTATATTTCATTATGCAAAACACTCTTGAATCTGCTGCTTCACTTTGAAGCGCCACCCTCATTGCTGTGTGCCACATAATTTGATGTTTCCGGCTGACATACAGTTCATTTCCTGAGGTGCCCATCTTCCATTCTTTACCTTCCACGTTCTGCCCCTAGTTGAGGGCAATCAAATTCTTCTAACTCTGTTAACATAAATATGTACCTAATGGCTCATTTCAGAATTTCTTGGAAGATAAATATCCAAAAGTAAACTGCTAGATGCCAGGGTATTAAAACAAATCCTATCAGAGTGTTTCCGCAAGGGCAGCACCAGATGAGACACAGGAAGATGATATATCTGTCCCTCTATCCCCACAACACTTAGCTATGCTCAGCTTTCCAATTTCGGCCATTCTCAGCAGCATAATGAGATATGCACTGTTGTCCAGACATTTTCCACAGGACTGTAACTTTTTGAGTTGTTTCTTCTATAACATATTTGTTTTTTCCTTTGCCCACATTTCCTTTAAGATTTTAGTCTTCTTGTCAACTTAAAGTAAATCTTTGTACATCCCATCGATTTTAGTTGCAACTTTCTCTTCCAATCTGTCACTGGTTTACTAACTTGAGCCATGGCTAGGCCTCTGTTGAACAAAAATCTTAAGTTGTAAAAATAAATTTTTCTTTTAATTTGTTTGTGGCAGTTTAAGTTCTTTTCCAATCCTAGGTCCAAAAGATATATATATTTGTCTTTTTCTTTATCGGTACCAGGGATTGAACTCACGACCACACACTTGCAAGGCAGGTGCTTATGCCGCTGAGCTAAATCCCCAGCCCCAAAAGATACTTTTAACATTTGTTCTATTAATGTGAAAGTCTTCCTTCTCACAGTTAAGATAATCTGATGCCCAACTTTGCATGTGGAATTTGGTAGCAATCCAGTTTTATTTTCTCCAAGTAATAAATAGTTTTTCATTGTTCACTAAAACAATCCTATAATCCCAACTTGGGGGACTGAGGCAGGAACTGCTATGAGTTCGAGGTCAGCCTGGGCTACACAGAGAGTTCAGGACATAGCAAAACTGTTTCAAACAAAACCAAGCCAAATCAAACCAAAGCACAATCCATTCTTTCCTCACTTGATTTCTTTATTTTGCAGTATCTAGGGTCCACATATATGCACATCTACCGCTATTCTGTTCCACTGGCTTATCTACCAATACTAGTTTTTATTACTATGGGTAGTAACATCCAATAAAGAAAAAGCACCTTTTCTACCTTTTTTTAAAGGTTGTGATTCTCCTATCTTCTAGTTAGCACTGCTAATATAGAAAAATTGTCTTGATTTGTATTTATATTAAATCAGGATCCATCATCAAATTCTTTATTATTTCTGTTTCCTTACTAGTTATTTTTCTAGTTATATGAGCACGTTATATATAAATAATTATATTTTACAACTTTTCTTACATCTTTGCTCAGGAACTCTTTTCAATTAATGATAGCCGGGGCTGGGGATTTAGCTCAGCAGTATAAGTGCCTGCCTGGCAAGTGAGAGGCTGTGAGTTCAATCCCCGGTACCAAAAAAAAAAAAAAAAAAAAAAAAAATCCCCAAAGCTTGGGCTGGGGCTTTAGCTCAGCGGCATAAGTACCTGCCTTGCAAGTGTGTGATTGTGAGTTCGATCCCCAGTACCGATTAAAAAAAAAAAAAAGATAGCCGGCATTCTTGGTTACTTTTCTGACCTTTAAATGCATCCTCCAGTAAATGACACGTTTTTCTTAGGTTTTTGGTATTTTCTTTTACTTTTTTTTTTTTTTTTTTTTTTTTTTTTGTGGTAACAGAAACTGAACCTAGAGTTGCTCTATCACTGACCTGCATTCCCCACCCTCTTTTTTGAGACATGGTCTTGCTATGTTGCCCAGGCTGGCCTTGAAATTGTCATCCACCTATTTCAACCCCTCAAGCAGCTGTACCACACCTGGCCTATTTTTACTTTCTTAAAACTTTTGCTGTATTGCTCAACCTGGTCTGGAATTTCCGGATTCAAGTGATCCTTCCTTCCTGTAGGTGGGCCCACAGGAACAAACCCTCATATCCAGTTTAATACATTGCTTTAATAAACTAAGAAAGCTCCTTTCTATTCCTTAAGAGGTTTCAAAAAATCATAACGAAGTAACAAAATTCAAATATTTTTCCATGTTGACTGAAATATCCTTTTTCTGGGCTGGGGATTTAGCTCAGCGGCATAAGCACCTGCCTTGCAAGCAGGCGGTCGTGAGTTCAATCCTTGGTACTGATAAAAAAGAAAAAGACAAAAAAAAAAAAAAAAAAAGAAATATCCTTTTTCTATTACATTAATTACACTGTTGAATCATAATAATGCGTTCTGTACTGCATAGTGTTTGTAATAAACTTTAGTTGCTGGTAGTGTATTATTCTATTTTTTAAACATCCTACTGGGTGTAGTAAAATGTAATATTTTATATGTATATTTATAAATAAAAAGAACTCATAGTTTCTTTTCTTGTTTTGCCTTTATCTGGTTTTACAGGTTTTCAGTTTTTTGTTATTCTTGAAGGGCAATAGTATTCTATAATGAATATTTAATGCACATTATGCATATTAACTCTAATTTGCCTCTTCTACAAGAAAAACTTAGGAGGTGAGTTTACAAAATATAATAAAAAAGAACAAATCAGAGAACTGTGTTCTATTCAGTTACTGTGAATTCATTCAATTCTAAGATTTGTCTTAAAATTTAATTTTAATTGCAATACTAGACACTGAAACCAGGGCCTTGTATATTCTAGGCACACACTCTACCTCTGAACTACATACCCAGCTAATTTGGATAAATTTAATCATACCATCTTCCTTTGAAGCATCAAGGAAGTCACTAGTTGAAAGTCACATAGCTAATTACTGAAGAAACTAGAATTTAACCCATCTGATTCCTAGCCCAAGTGCTCCTCAGTTAACAGATCCTAACTCTGCGACCTCTCATTTGGACAGTAACAAATATGTCCATCTCAAGAACTAAAAGAAAATCAAAGCTTTCCTCTTTATCTACGAAACATCCAGGATGATGCTAAATTAGCTTTGAAGAATAAAAATTTTTATTAATTTACAATATTTGATACTAATTACATGTTAACATTTTAATTTAAATCTGGTAATTATTCATTTTGTTAGGCAAGAATCTGCATTTCAAAAGTTTTACCTGTCTTTCTATACTCCACAGTAGCCCACAGATCTGTCCCACATGAGCTTTAACAACTTACCTTTCCTACAAGCTGTACAATTTCTGCCAGGTCTTCTTCTTCCTGCAGAATTTCCTTCGCTTTGGTCCTCAGAGGAACAAACTCTGTGAAGTGTTTGTCATAGTACTCATCCAACGCCCGCATGTATTTGCTGTAGCTGATGAGCCAGTTGACCGAGGGAAAATGCTTACGTTGAGCCAGTTTCTTATCTAAGCCCCAAAACACCTGATTTAAAAATAACCCCCAAAAGAAAAAGATTTTTCTTGAATTTTTTTCAAAATATATTTGTTCTAAATATGCAATTTTATAATTTACTGGTCAAATTATACATCCTTTGAGTACCAAGTGTGATTAAAAGAATAAAACCTACAGAAAATATTAATTAAAAATATATTCTCTCATTTTCAGGGTATTACCTATAAATCAAATTCAAATTTTATCTGAATTTCCTTAATAGTGTGCCAAATGTGATGGCAAAAAAGCTTTATTGAAGCCTCTTTTAATGACCAAGCTGGCTAGCTATGCATTAAAATAAGTAATGTGTCTTATGGAAGCAACAACCTAGGCAAAAAATTACATTCCCAGTATTGTTTCATCTGGATGTAGTTAATGGAATGACCACATCACTACTGAACCCACTGTCCCAAAAGTGGATGTGTCCTTCCCACGGTCAGCAAGCTGACTCCGAGGTCAAGTGATGGAGGGGCCACAAGACAGAACAGTTTGGGCCTCCAACATGATGAATGAAAGAGAGACATTTTCTGCCCTGGATCATACTATGAGGAGGAATAAACTTCTAGACTTTTGCCATTATACAGTATTGGGCCCATTTGTTTAAAGGATAAGATAATTCTAGCTGTATTTGCCAGCTGAGTGTATTTTCCACTTACATATTTACTTTATTAAAAACTGGTTAAAGAGCCAAGAAAAGTCAGATAGTATTAATTAGGCTGCTGGTCTTCATGTTCCCAAAACACAACTTGCCACTGTCTACTCATTGGTTGTTAAGTCAAATATTTCATGATGATTCACACAGTATTAGAACAGCTGAGGGGGACTGAGAAGTTGACTACTCTAATATAACACGTACCTGAACAATACCAAGAGTAGCAGATGTAACTGGATCAGAAAAATCACCACCAGGTGGAGAAACTCTAGATTAAAAAAAACCACATAATTATTAGAAATGCTTATGAAAAATGTACATGAAAGTCAAAATTTGAAAGTTAATAAAAATAATAGAAATTAAAATGTTTATGAAAAATACACATATGAAATTTAATGTAAATAACATCCATTTACTCATCATTGGGAATCCGTGGCCTTGTGCCTTACAACTACATGTTCCATCATTGAACTATACCCCCAATGTTACTTTTTTTTTTTTTTTAAATCAGTACTGGGGATCGAACTCACAGCCGTCTGCTTGCAAGGCAGGTGCTTATGCCGCTGAGCTAAATCCCCAGCCCCCAGTGTAACTTTTTGGTATAAACTTTTAGAAATGAATGATCCAAAAAAAGAGCCTCCCAAGTCTGGGAACCAGGGCCATGTGCAAGCCACCACCAGACTGGAACAGACAGACTGAGCCCCTTTTGGCATTGGGCTGACAAGTACCAATCTCCACCTTCCCACCCCCTACCCTGCACCCCGTGGGGGCCTCCCCCATAAGCAACAGGCTTATCCAGAGAAACACAGGCTGTGATGATAGCTATTGAGGTGAAATGCAGTTGGATAACTGTGGTGCTCTGGTGTTTCACCAAAGTTGCAGGTCTATGGCCAGTGGTCTGATTATAGGTTCAGGGGATAGTGGTATAGTGTAACATCTAGGGGGACTCTCTTTCTGAGGATTACAGCCATTGTTGATTCCCTGTGGTCTTGTTTTGGAAGTCCTATATCATTTCCATTGTTTTGTTGGGTTGTGTTTTATTCTCTTTATTTTGAGTATGTCAAATCCAATGGCAGGAGCAGCTCTTTCAAGGATAGCAAGATATATTATGGTAGCAATTTTGGATTTATTATAGACTTGTTTTAAAGTCCTTTATTGCATTCATTGTTTTGTTTTTGTTGTTTCTATTCTATTCTGTTTTTCACTATATCTGAAGTTATCTGCAGCTATTCTGAAGACATCAAAGGCATAAATGTTGTTGATTTCATAATGTTCTAAAGTCCCGCATCTTCTACATTGGTTTGTTTTAATTGGTTTTATTCTGTTTTATCCTCTTTAAAATAAAAGCAAATTTAAATAAGAAATGAGTGATCCTTGGAAAAAAAAGTATTACATAAAATTCTTAAGCAAAAGCCATTTCTAAGTTGCAAATAAGAACAATTATTTTTATTTTTTTGAGACATAGTCCGGCTATGTTGCCAGATTAGCCTTGGGAATTCAAAACCCTCCTGTCTCAGCCTCCAAGGTAACTGTAATTAAAAGGTATGCACCACTGTGTATGGCTTAAAGATGATAATTATACAGTACTTTCTACTATATGAAGCCATCTTTTTTACAATCAGTTTCATTATTTCTAATCAAATAAATGAAGCAGAATGTAAGGAAAAGCTCAAGAGGAAAGTAAGGCTCAATGTGGTAATTGTTGTTCCTATTTGCAATTTAGAAATGGCTTTTGGTTAAGAATTTTACGTAATATTTTCTTTCCAAAGATCATTCATTTCTTTCTTAAATTTGCTTTTATTTTAAAGAGTATAAAACAGAATAAAACCAATTAAAAGTTTCTACCAAGATATATCCTCACCAGAGCATATCTATAATTTTCTAACTTATTCCTAAGATATTGTGACTTAAATATAATAAATCAGTGAACCTGAGCACACAGAGCTCCTTGAAGCTCTGTGAGTAACACTGGAGGACAGCCTCAATAAGAACCATTACTGCTACACGAAGTCTCTCTCTCTGTCTCTTTCTCTCTATATATACATATATGTATATATAGATACATATCTAGTTATCTATCTATCTCAACCAATGAGGTTTATCTGAGGTGTAATTATTGTTAATAGAAAAAAAAAGTGACTTTTCTCCTTTGAAAAGTAAACAGCTTGGATGCTTACGCTCCTACAATGCTGACACTCCCTTCTCTTTCAGGATTTCCAAGACACTTCACTCTGCCTGCTCGCTCATAGAAAGAGGCCAGACGGGCACCAAGATATGCAGGATATCCACTATCTGAAAGATGAAAAGAAATTTATAAAAGGCGTCTAAATCAGGCCCCTTAATCCTATCAATCTTGCTTATATGATAAATGATAACGAAGATTTACCTGCAGGCATTTCTGCTAAGCGACCAGAAATTTCTCTAAGGGCCTCAGCCCATCTAGAGGTGGAGTCAGCCATCATACTGACATGGTAACCCATGTCACGGAAATATTCTGACAGTGTAATTCCTAAATTGGGAAGAGCAACACAAGTTACAATGTTAGAATATATGATCTCAACTTTAAACCCTCAAGCAAACTTTAAAGCATTAAGTAGAAAGACTGCAAGTTGCTCTTTTTAGCCTGAGACCTAGCCCAGAATGGCAGACTGAGAGGTCCCTAATCATTTGAAGTAAGTATATATTATAGTAGGCAATTACATGTTTGGAATTAACTGATGACAAAGTCTAGCCTAACTTAACATAGGAAAACACTTTTTCTCCTTCTCTTTGTTGCAATAATTCTAAAATTAATTTCCAAATACAGTTCAAACACACACACACTAATTCAACTAATTAACTTGTTCAGTTACATTTCAAAAGGAACAACTGTTATTAACATATGTATTATCTCAATTATGTGGATTTTTCTGCTACATAGATCAGACCCTTATAAATTTACTAACAGTAAAACATTTTCAAGAAGCTAATATAAAGAGAGAAGAGATGAGAACAGGGATGAAAAAAGGAATTAAGATGTGTTATGTATATATACCAACTCCCCACAAGGAGTATAAACATTATGTACTATACAAATGTACTAATAAACTAAAAAACATAAAACTGAAGCTAATACACAGAAAGAAACCCTGGGTTCTGTTTTCTGTCATTAACCCTCCCAAATAACTAGATGACACCTGTACATATATTTTAATGTTCTCCAAAATATAAAGTATTATATAACTTTAAGATATTAAAAACGGTAACTGTAAGATATTAAAAACGTGTGGCTGTTGCCACAGCAAATGAGTCTGAAAATCTAATGCCTGGAATTCCTTTATTTTACTAGCAAAGAAACAGAAACACATAAAATAAAATGAATCCACTTTGGCATCTGTAAAAAGGAAGGAAATGGACATGAGTAAAATGTATTTAAGCACATCTTATCCTCACTACACAAAATGTGGCTGAAACAGGACAGAAGAGAAAGAATTCATTATGAATGGCCTTACAATTACTGACTTCGGCTGGCAGGCAAAAGTAAACAGTAAGGTACCTTATTAATACAACTGCATGCCAAAACAAACCCCACAGGTTACAATGCAGAATTCCTGCTATCTTAGACAGGATACTCAGCCCCTCCCATCTCCTACACAGATGAGTAACAGTAACAACAATGCCAGTATAGAATATTTAAATAAGATGAAACAAGAAAAAGGAAGGGAATACTAGGAGGTTAAAGAACATACCAAGGAATGATGCAAATGTAACCACAGTTAATTACAAAAGAAAACCTTAATGCATTCTATCATAAAAGCTCAAGGACTATCTAGTCAGTTAAGAGATGTTTCATGAACTTGCAGAACATCACACAGAGTGAAAAGGATAGAAAATTACTATAGAAATGCAGGTTAAACATCCTATAAACTGTGTACATAAAAGGCTAAATAAAAAGGATTGGAAAGGAACTGATACATATGGAAAACACATAAAGGAGAGCCATTATGTCTACTTGTTATTTTAAAAAGATAGCTAAAATAGAAGAGAAAAAAATTTCATACTGTTAAATCTTCTAAATTGTAAAACATTCATAGATTGAAAGAATACACTGTCTCAAGGTAATATATACTGAAACTATTAATACTGAGATATATCCTAATAAAATTCAAAATTCAAATTTAAAGAAAAATTTCCTTGGACAAAAGGAAAAATGTTCTCACTTGGGGCTCATGACTCAAAGTGGAAGTGGGGCTGTATTTTCAGACTCATTCTGGTGGTTGGCAGAATTCAGTTCTGTGCAGTTCCTTTGTCCTTACTGGTTTTACGTGCAGATTGGCAGTTTCTAGAGACCATCCACACTCCTTCTCTTGTCTCCCTACCTCCATGTTTTATTTATTTATTTATTTTTTGGTACTGGGTTTCAAACTCACAACCCAGGTAGGCGCTTACACTGCTGAGCTAAACCCCCAGCCCCAGGAAAAATCTTCTTTTTAAGAAGGTTTGGTTCAGATCTCTCTCCAACATTTAACAATGTAATATTGGTTCATAAAGAAAGAAATATTGATCCAAGAACTTTATACTCAAACTACTATTAAAGCTTAGATAGGCATTATTTCTACTTTATAAATAAAATCCATTGTTTTACGAAAATGGAAACATTACTATGTAAACTACTAGAGTATCAACTCTATAAAAATTCATATATATACAAAAAAACAAAAAGCAACTTAGGAAGAAACAAGAATTTAGGGAACAAAGTTCCCAGGTGTCTTTCTTGACACTTTCAAAAGGAAAATTTTAGCTAAGAAATAAATGGAGAATGTGTGACCAAAATAATGCCAATGCACATTCATTCCCATCTTATGGCAAGTTTAATGCAAAATCAAATATTGGATTGATCTAGAACAAAATATAAACTTAATAAATCCTAAAGATGTAGAAATAAAAGTACTAAAAGCTCCAAATGGAGTGGGAATAAAAATGGGGGAAATACGTAAACACAACAATTTTTTTGTCTTACATTCTTAATTAACAAATAATATTTTAAAGCCGATAATTCAAGTTTATACAAATGTATGTAAGTTTGTACAAAGGTACAAATACATTTAAAGATAGGTTGGCAGCAAAATATATGGTGAAAAGAGTATAAACTATATCATTTTATGTTCATTATAAAAGATGGGGATGGTTTTATAAATATTTCCTGTTCATTTATTCTCAAGGTAAAATATGTGCAGTGTTTTTTTCTTTTTTTGGTATTGGGGCTCAAATTCATGACCGTGCGTTGGCCAGGAAGGTGCTTGTGCTGCGGAGCTAAATCCCCAGCCTGTGTAGTGTTTCTTAAAAGTAAGGAAAATACACTTACATGGAAGTACTTTGGAATAAAAGAAGCTTTTTGACAAAGGTACTGGTACTACTTTTAAACTTAAGAATAGCTTTAATAGCTTTTATTCTAATTCATAACTTACCAGTATAAATAGAGGCTTCTCTAGCAGCAACAGGCATATTGGAGGTATTGGCTACCAATGCTGTCCTCTTCATAATTGACTCTACCTTACCATCAACTTCCATAGTGAGCTAGATGCAAAGAAATCCATTAGTGATCCTCCAATTTCTAAATTTAGTATTTTGGTTACTTTTTTCCCTACAACCTGTGCATACTTAACCCCTCTAATCAGCATTCCCAAAGAAATATTCCCCATCAGTCCACCTCTCCTGCCTGCTCTACCCAAGATATACAATTAAAAGTGGATATAGCTGGGGATTTAGCTCAGTGGCATAAGCGTCTGCCTTGCAAGCACGAGGTCATGAGTTCGATCCCCGGTACTGCAAAAAAAAAAAAAGTTGCTATAGTTTCCATTTCATAAATAAAATCTATCATTTTATGAAAGGTAAAATGTTATTATAGTAACCTAGTAGTTCACAAAGGCTTTGTAAAGTTCATGGATATAAGTGTTTTGTTTGTCTTATTTTCCTCTCAATCCTAAAAGATGCAAAATAAGATACATTTTCAAGTGTTTGACTTTGAAAAATTTAAATTCTTTTCCGTAAATATTCAAATTAACCATGTTATTTAAATTCTTTAAAAGATCCTTGACAAATGAGCATTGCTATAGACCCAACAAAAAGTTGCCAATCAAAACTGATATGTGGTTATTTCCTCCAGAATATTATGTGAAGCTTTCCAAATACAGACCTCTGGGAAGTCCCGGAGAACTTCAGACATCTCGTTTCCTCTTTCACCACATCCTACATAGATGATCACATCACTGTTAGAATACTTGGACAGAGACTGTGATATTACTGTCTTCCCACAGCCAAAAGCCCCAGGGATAGCAGTTGTCCCTCCCTGTACACACCTGAGCAAACAACAAAAAAAGAAGCAAGGATTACTCTACTTGCTAATAAATACTATTAAGTAAAGTAGGCAAGTAACAAAAAATACAAATTAAGGAAAGAATGCACTTTAATTGATATACAGAAATAAATATATAGATAAAAATACAACTGCTCCCTTAGTTTGTACCTATGATAGCATATGCTTTTATTCTATTTATCATCTCTATAGTTGAAAAGTGAAAATATATTTCATAAGGTAGCAGCAAAAGAGGGAGATGGAAATAAAAAAGTAATACTACTGCCATTCTGAATATCTATTAGCTTATATGTATTATATGTATTCGTTCCTGAAAAGACAACAGAAAAAATAAGTAAGAAAACCATAAGCAACTTTTGAAACCTGTCTACTGAGGCAAGAAATAAGAGCTAGAAAATTTGTCGTATTATAAATTGTGATGAATAGAGTTTTGTTAAGGTGGTTGTCTTGATTACTTTTCTCTCGTTGCTGAGACAAAATAGCTAATACCCAAAATTAAGGAAGGAAAGGTTAATTTAGCTCACAGTACATAATCAACTGGCTCCAAGACAGAACGGCACATGGCAGAGGGGACAGTTCACGGCAGTGGAAAACAGCACAAGCAACAAGAGTGAAAGAGGAGGAGCACGGAGAGAAGACTCTTTCTGCCCCTTATATTGTATGTAGGCCACACCCACTTGGGTATAGCACTCATACCCATAATTCCAGCATTGGACCAGTTCTGGGCATCACAAATCCTAGAAGCCCGTCTCCCTGACTATATGAGGCTTTGTGGGGACATCCAGATTCAAACTGTCACGGTGCTGAGCCAATCCCCTTTTAACCACGGCTGAGTACTAGATATTGAAAACTGTGCTTAAAGAGGCTACTGAAGAGAGAACAGTCAGTAAGAGAGCGATGTTTCTATACTCACAGAGCTCAGATTCTCAAGGGACAAAATGGTGAATTGACCAGTGATTATGGTAACATTTAGCAGCCACTTTCAAATTTCCCTTAAAAAGTGGCAGTGGAGAGTAAAATACTTTTGGGAAAGACAAAGTGGGTATTTCTCTGTATGTGTACCAGTGTGTGTTTGTTTACGTGCACATGTGTGTGCATGCATGCACATGTGGTGTGTGTGTACTGGGGGACAGTCTATGCAGGAGAAATAGGATGTAATGCTAAGGAAATGTCTTTGCAATGTTCTGCTTTTTCATAAAAATTCAGAGAACCATTGCATCCTTAAGCAGAGTAACTGATTTTCTCAATGGAAACCTGCATTAAAATCTTTTCTCCTCTTAACTGTGTCTTGCTTGAGGCCAGCCTGAACTACATAGCAAGATCCAATATAAAAACAAATAAACAAGGCCAAAAATTTTTTTCTCCTCTAAACCTTTCAATGTATTTGATAAACTAAACAGGCATGTCACATTTTTCTTACGATTCTGTCAATCAAATCATTTTAACCTAGAGTAAGATGGGGCTGGATGTGCCCTGCTTTGGAAATTCCGCAATCCAATGTTACAAGTGCTGTCACGGAGAGCTGTGGAAGTAAACTGGGAAAGGGTGCAAAGTTTGATGTTTAGTGCGTGTCATGGTTTATGTCTGTGGCCCCCAGGCCTCATGAGTTCGCATTGTGCGTTTGTGCATTTGCATTGTCTAGAGCTTGGATTGATGGTGTTAGTGCTCCACCCACCTAGGGGTGGAGCCAGGACGTGATGTAATGGTAGGAAGAAGGTGTGTCTTGCTCTTTGCTGGTTCAAGCTTGCTGTTTGCAGCTGCCATGAACTGGGGCCTAGCCATGCCTGCCTGCCTTGGAGCCAACTGAGTGTGGACTGAAACCTCCAAAAACTGTAAGAAATAAACCTTTCCTTTCCCAACTTTGGGCTTCAGGTATTTTGTCTCAGTGATGAGTAAAAAGTAACTAAGACAGTGAGTGAGGTTAGTAAATTCTTCCTGAAAGCAGACAGACCTGAAAGGAAACAGAAATACAGAAATAACAATCCAGACAGAGGGAACAGCAGGCTCAAAGGTCCATGGATGAAACAGTCACTGCTTGAAAAATTAAAAGGCTTTCATTATGCCTGGAAAGAGGTGTTTATGGATGTACTTAGGGAATCAAGAGGCTGAGATAATGCTAGAAAGTAGATAATAACCAAATAGCGGGTGGCTTTAAATGAAGTTAATGATTGTGTGAAAAAGGTTTCAAGTAAGACAGTACAATATCAGAGATCTAAGTTCTGGATGGACTACTATGTTGTATGAACCACCACCTAGAAAAACAACTGAAGACAGGCAGGCTAATTAAATGTGATTATTACAGGAATTACAGTGAGAGCCTTAATTAGGGCTAGGGAATAGGGATTAAGTATACAAAAATCAGATCAGTCTTTGACAGAAGTCACAGATTTTAAATTAGGGATCTATTAGATGGGTGCTAATGATATTTGTGGTTACAGGCAAGAAAGAAAAGGAACACAGAACGGCATGGTAATTAAGACGATTTTAGTTTTGAATTTTGAGGCTCTTGTAGGCTATTCAAAAGCACTAAAGGAAAACTCAAAGAGAATAAGTGAGGATACTGGTAAGAGTCAAAATGCATACATACATATTTAAGTCAAGTCAGTGAGTAGTAAAGCCATCCAAAGAAAAGTAAGAAGAAAAGTTTTAGAAGCAGGAAAACCTCTAAGCAATGTCACAACTTAAGGGAGAAAGTTTACAACAGAGAATAAGAACTTATGGGCAGAAGCTGCTAGGAAGGAAAAAAAAGAAGAAGAAGAAAAGAAAAAGGTGCTTCGAGGAAGAAGTGGAAGACAATATTCAAAGCTGCAGAAAATGAGAAAATACTGAAATTTATGCCCTAAATTAATCGAGTATGGGAGTGACTGATAACATAAATGATAGTTAAGAGGGTGGGAAGGTCAAGAGTGGAGTACAGTGAATTACAGTAGAAGAAATGGACATAACATACTGATTGCTTCAAGAGGTTTAGCCATAAAGATACAGAAAAATGTAGTGAAAGATGGGAAGGGGTGCAGGGCGAATTTTTTTTTTATAGATAGGAGAAGATGTGAAGATAACAAAGGTAAATGTTCTGGAGGAGACATAAAATGGGGTTAAGTTCCAGAAAACGGAAGGAGGAGACGCATGGGAATGTGTAAAATAACCCTGGAGGAAACTGAAGGAATTCTAAATCTCCAGTCTTTAATTTCACTGTGAAGGATCTAGAATGATCATTTGTAGTGAAAGGGGAAGATAAAAAGATCTTAGGCAAGCAGAGCAATTTAAAATAGCTGCTGAGGAAAACAGGAGAGAATGACAACTAGGGAAATGCAGGATTACTACATAGTAGTGGTGAGGTCAGATATCAATTTATACTGACTGTTTGATTTTTTTTCTGAAGCCTGTGTATAGAATTAAGGACAAGGAAATTGCTGGAGTGATTTACATTTGGAATTTTGCCAGATGGGTGTGATAAAATGCAAAGGAAGAAAAAAATTTATTGTGCTACAGGTAAATAACCAGAGGAATAATAAAGATTATGGAGCCTACACTGAATAGTGAAAGATATGCCGACAGGAGGGACTATTAAAGAATTAGGAAAAGACGAAAGTCTTAATGAGACAGCAATAGCAACAACTCAGAGAGCATCTTAAAGGGAAGAGTCTACATCAAGAGTACATGGCAAGGCTGATGTGGCTCGGCGGGGAGGCACCTGCTCAGCCATGTGCAAAGCTCAAAAAAGTGTCAGATATTGACAGACTGATTTGGTAGTCAGATAGTGAAGGAGCTCCTGCTTCAAACCTTCAGTCTTTCCTGTGTGTAAAAGGATAAAGCCATTTGTTGAAAATACAATAGGATATGGTGAAGTCTGAGATTTAAAGAGAAACCAATTTAGAGTAACAATTTATACTTTATTATTGGATAACTTAAGATAGTTACATTGTTCTAACATAGATATTCTAAAAACTATTTTTTCCAGATGCTTGTAGAAATAATGCTTTCTGTCTACTTTTGTGGAAAAATATCTCCAATGGTTTGACTCGGTAACAAATACTGGCAATGGATAACTAAATTTAACTCACCACTATACTCTAGATAAAATTTAAGATTGTATTAAATAACACACAAAACATTAACTTACAATAAGAAAGTAAGCACATATAATGACTCCTAGCAAAAACTGTGGGAGACATCACAAACTTACGGAAAAAGGGCATCCAAGACTCGCTGGCCAGTGAGCAAAGGATGATTGGCTGGCAGCTTCTCAGTGACAGGCCGAACTTGACGCACGGGCCATATTTGGACCATGTTGAACTTCTCCTTTACACCTTCAAATTCAAGCTCCAAGACTACATCCTGTAAAAATAGAGGATTTTGAGCATGGTCAAATTTGTGAATATTTTTCCTTCAAAATTTAGGGAACTTCAGATTCCTCTTGGGAGTAGAAAGGTGGTCCACAGACATGAGAATGGAGATTTACACTTTTTATTGTGAACATTTGTATAATCTTGATTTTTTAAAATCAGGTGTGTTACTATTTTGATGATGTTAACAGTGTAGTGGAGTCTTTTAGGAAAGAGTATACTAAACAACAGAGAAATGCTTTATTATACTATGTGTAAACAAATGGTAAAGTCTTAAAAGAGACAGTAAGATACTCCTGGGCCTAGTGAGAAGGTAAAGTTTCATAGTTACTTTCCATTCTGTTTTATTTACTCTACTATACTGATCTTACACTGTTTTAATGAAAAATTATCTGTTAAAAGTCTTCAAATACGGCTGGAGATTTAGCTCAGCAGCATAAGCACCTGCCTGGCAAATGCAAAGTCATGAGTTTGATCCCCAGCACTAAAATAAATAAATAAAAGCCTCCAAATATTTAAAATAGTTAAAATCTTTACATATCTAATTTAAATATTTATACAAGCAAAAAGGCAATGGTAATGGTAACATCTGTGAATACTGAATTCCGAAGTTCAAGACCCTGTAATTTTTTGATGCATCAATTTGAATTATCTGCTTTTGGGTGGTTCCTTCAATTGGAATGAGTGAGCTCCTAAGCTAATGACTCTAGACCTTTGGTCAAAACATCAATTCTAATGCAAATGCTTGTTGTCCTCATATGTTGCAGAGCACAGACTTCCGTGAAAAGATTTAACGATAATCTCTTATTCCATTTTACTGAGAGGCAATCATAAAAACTAATCATAAATAATAATAATAATAATAACAATTATATCAAATAATACCATATGTAACTATAAATACAAGTAAAGGACTAAGTTGCTCAAAGAAAGAATTCGCTAATTCATTATATGATTAATGATGTGAATATGGACTGACAATAAAAATCAAAGTCTAATCATTCATGCCTATAAAAGATTTAAACAAATGTAGCATCAGTTATTAAGGTAGGAAATGTTATACTTCTTAATTTGTATTCTCAAGTCTAAATCAGAAGTGTCCCTATAAAATAATATAGGACTGGTGATGCAGCTCCGTGGTATAGCACTTCCTGGCATGTGCAAAACCCTGAGGCCAATTCCTAGAAACACACGTATATACAGTTACTTAGAACTTATATATTACATATTTTATTCAGGGCACTGAAACAAGGCAACTATTATAGATAAATAAGGCCACTCTGTGGAACAGTTTAAAAGATACTTACAGAGGTATCATAATTCCCAGGTGGAGCAATGTAAGTTACAGTCCCCCTGTTTCGTGGAGGTAACATGATTTTGTGTTTGATGAGTGAGTTCTCATTAACAATTCCATAAATATCTCCTCCAGTGATATGACTGCCAACCTAGAGAACAAATGCATTTACCTGTTTAATGCTCAAATAAACCCAAAACAGATCTATCCCCACTGGTATAATTTAATCATTTGTCTCATCTATTAATAAATATATTACTTCCACAATCTTATTGGTGCATTTAAGGAAACACTTAAATTCTGCTTTTCAGTCTACTTTTATTTGGGTTAAAAGTACTAAATGTTCCCCAAATATTCATTCCAGCTTCTTTGTCAAGGTTAGAAATTCTTGGTTGTGTAGACATACCCGTAAGTTTTTGCATGGTGTAAAATCCCATTTGATATCTCTGCTAAGGGCAGACACATTTACTCCTCTTGGGATGTAGATACTCTGGGTCTGATTGCTGATATCCGACAAAGGCCTTTGAATACCATCAAAAATGGCTCCCATAATGCCAGGACCAAGCTCTACTGAAAGAGGTTTACCGGTACGGAGTACAGGGTCTCCAACAGATACACCAGCTAGAAAGTGGTTGAGGAAAACTCATGCTAAAAATTGAAAGTTAACATTAATAGGATGTATCACAGTTTAAAGGGGAAATAAGCGGTTGAGGATATAGCTCAGTGGCATACACACTTGCTTAGCAAGAACAAGGTTGTGAGTTTGATATCGAGTACCCCTTCCCTAAATAAATAAATAGGAAATAAGCTAAAACAGAGGCTCCTAAACTTTCTTGCTTTACAGAAACTTTAGTGTTTCAGTAATATTTTTAATGCCTGACAAAAAAAATATACCTAACGATAAAAATGGTGTGGTATTTTTATACAATGGAGTACTACTCAGCTATAAAGAAGAATAAACTCAAAGACTTCCATAGGTAAATGGATGCAACTTGAGCCCCTCGTAAGTGAAATAAATTAAATTAGACTCACATGTATAAACATTATATTGTCTCTCTAGTGTAAAAAACTGAAAGCATAAGTAAGATCCAAAATATATAATAGATGTTGTGAAAGTGAAAAGGGAAGAAACTGCTCAAAATGAAAGAAAACTGGCATGGGGAAAAGGAGAAAAGAAAGAAGAGCAAAGAATATATATATATGATAGATAAGACAATCACACTACCAATCTCTATTAATTCACTGAAAAGAACTGTTTACATTATTTAAACAATTTTTGATGCCTGTATTTTATAATCTGAGCAGTTATACTAAAGATTACCACACACAATATATTAACCATTGTTAATCTATTATCTTATTTTGAAATTCTATCATTTTTATTTTTTTCTTTAAAATAAAAAAATATACATAATGATTGCACTTATTAGAGTTTTGTGTACACAACTTAATTAACATATGCATGTTAACAGCTGAGAAGCAATAAGAGAATATACATAAATTGAAAGGAAAAAAGGATATTAATTTTAGTCTTAACCATAATTCTTATGAATAGGACGGAAATGCCTATTGGGCACTACATAATTTTCAAACCTACCATGCAGACTGGAAATTTCTTTCACATTGATTTTCACCTATTAGCATTACAGCATAGCAACCATCAAAAAGTGAGCTCTCCAAACATGACACCACTGACAAAAAAGTGATGTAGCCAAGTAATGAAACTGTTTATTATCTCAAGCAACTACTGTCTGACAAGGTATCTAAGATTCCTGGTTAACCTCAAAAATTTAAAACATCCTTGGCATCATGTGAGTTCACTACAGCTGCCCAGTTATCTTTTTGGTTTGGGAAATGCAAGGCTCAAAATAGAAGCAAAAACCTCTTATTAATTTATCATTTTTGACTGCTGAAGAACAACAGTCTCTAAAAAAGATAGTAGGCCTGGGCAAAACTTTTACCACAGTGAGATCTAAGGAAAAAACCAGTCATGGCAGTGCATGACAGTAATTCCAGCGTTTTGGGAGGCTGAGGCAGGAGGATCACAAGTTTGAATCCAACCTAGCAACTAAAGTGATACTTGTCTCAAAATAAAAAAATTTTTAAAAAGGCTAAGGATCCAGTTCGGTGAGAAGGCCCTGGGTTCATTTCTTAGGAACACACACACACACACACACACACACACACACACACACACAGAGAAAGACCTTTGAAAAGGAAAAGAAAATCTACAAATAAGTAAGGCAAATCTGCCTTGCTCACTAGTATTTGTTGACAGGAGTGAAAACAGGCTCTTTCATAGAAAACAACTTAGCACTATCTATCAAAATTAAAAATGGAAAAAATAAAATAAAAATGGATAAGCTTTGACCTAGAGATCTAACTTCTATAAATTTATATGGTAGTTATACTGTGACATGGTTGATAACAGAAAAAGATAAAAAACAATCAAAATTAAGATTTCTATCACTGGGACTGGGGATTTAGCTCAGCAGCATAAGCATCTGCCTTGCAAGCAGGCGGTCGTGAGTTCGATCCCCGGTAAAAAAAAAAAAAGATTTCTATCACTAAGAGATTAACTAGTTATGGAAGCCCACACGATAGAATTCTGTCACCACTAAAAAAAAAAAAAAAAAAAAAAAGGAATCGGGGCATCTATAAATTGCTCTAGAATGATTTCTAAAATATGTACTTTCATCCCTAATATCTGATTATGAAATTCTTTAAACCTATGAAGTTGAGAGAAATTGTCAGTGAATTCTCCTTATCTCTACCATCTAGATTCTATCATTAACATTTTATCACATTATCTACCCATCTCCTACAATATACATACAAACACAAAAATATAAATATAAAATAACGTATAATAGACTAGTTTAGGTGAGCATAGTGGTCAATTTATGCTTAAAAGTGAATCAAAAGAATTTTTTTACAGGGCTAGGGATTGAGTCTACTGCCTTTGCACTGAGCCACATCCCCGGCCCTTTTTTATTCTGAGTCAACGTCTTGCTAAGTTTAATTGCCCAGCCAGGACTCTAACTTGAGATCCTCCTGCTTCAACCTTCCAGAGTACTGGGATCAGAGTGCTGGGATCATGCACTCCACTATGCATGGCTTAAAACTTGGTATTATAATAACCAAACAGTAAGGACTTCTTTGTGCCAAAACTGTAACATGCCACCGAGTGCTATTGATTAAACAGTGGTGACTAACTATAGACTTATTATTTTAAGCAGAAATCATGATTGAAATTTTAGTAGTGCAAATTAATACTGTTATTCCATTTATGACTACTACTATTACAATATGTGTCCTAATAAAAAAACTTCCAACTAGTACCTCTGAAGTTTGTGAGTTACTAAAACATTAAGGGCTATGCAAGTTCAGAATATAAACTAATTTCTTAAAATAAGAGCACTAATCCCTAGTATATTTGTCTCCTATCTTCAGTTATTCCAATATAAATCAGGTCACTTCACAACATCTGTATTTCACACTTCTAATATCACTGATTGTAGCTACTTTTATCTTTAGCTTAAATCCTTAAATTCTTACACATAAAGTGGCAGGAAAGTGAAACAAAAAGGATACAGGTTTCTTCATACACCTGAATAGTAGCCATGTCACCTTCCAACCGAATAATCTCTCCAACCAACTCACTGTGGCCCACTCGCACCAGCTCATACATGGCTGCACCTGCCATGTCACAGGCTGTAACAACTTAAAAGAACAAAAGAAAAAATGATTTAAGACTCAAGTGCTCTGTGAACAGTTACAGATAATTAAAAATACCAATAAATCCAGTAACATGCCTGCTTTCATATATTCACAAAGATAAAACTCCTACTATAGTTTCATATAAAGATACATTTTAGTACATGCTATAAATTGGGAAACAAAACAGATTTGTTAAGCTAAAGGCTATCTATTTGCATAACATGCATGAGAGGTATTTTTAATATCTGAAATTCTGTATCTGGCAGTATTGACAGTTCTGCTCAATCCAGGTTACTCTAATTCATTGGGGTTTGGAACAATAAAAATACTTTAAAATTAGCTTTAGAATGCTACGCAATTATCACTTTGCTGTGTTGTCACCATTTCTCTTTAGAGATGACACTTAAAGTAACACCTGTACTTTCTATTACCTTAAATCAGTAGTACTTAAAACTTTCCTGGGACATACAAACTTTTTTGCTCAACTAAGGATAGGTCTACACAGGAAGACTCACAAATGCAACTAGAAATATTTTTACTGAATGGCAGATGTAGGGCAGTGGCACTGTCTGGCAAGCACAAAGCCCTGAGTTTGAGTCCCTGTACAAAAAAAAAAAAAGTAGATGACTACTACCAGAAACTACTACTGGATAAAGTTCCAGTTAAGAACCTCTACTGAGCCAGAATTAAAACTGAAGATTTTGGAACATGTTGCTTAGTAAGCAAGTAAGATTGTCACATTTTTAAAATGCCTAAGAGTAGATACAACTATTTATAACTATATAACAGGCAATATAGTGTATCCGTGGAATCTAAATTATTGATATTTAAGTAAACTGTTACCAAAACAAAGATTTACTCATTTCTTAAATGTTTACTTCTATATCTGGTATATAAGAAAATGTATGATGGACTGAAATATAACAGATAAAAAAATTTTAAATCATATATTATACACAAAAATTGATGCCATTTCTTGATTATTAAGTAATTAAGAATTAAAAATTGGCTCCAGGAGTTTATTGCACATTTCTGTGGAATGTTTTCACCTATACTCTTCAGTGCTATTCTCTGTCCTTTTCTCTAGAAGTTCTGCTTTTAGCCTATCTGTCCTAAAGAACCCTATGATCACCAAAGGGAAACTTGTTTCTCTCAATGGCAAAAAGATTTTAAATAGTGAAATGAATAAAAGTTATTATCTTTTTATTACGGGCAAGGGAGCTCAAATTCAAACAAGTTCTTGGAGAAGAAAAAAGAAGCAAACTGATTAAGTCTTCATTTGTCTAAGCACCAAAAAATACTATCACTTCCACTGTGACTAGAGAAAGAAAGACTATCATACAAGATTGATAAAGATTTAAAGAAGAATGGATTTTCATGGCACTAACAATAATAAGTCAATGAGCAGGTGCTACTTAGAGAAATTGTGAAACTGCCTTTTGCTTAGAGAATGCTTTAGAACAAATGACCAATGAAAGGAGATTTATTATTTAAAACATAGAACTCCAAATTTTGTCACATTCCACTATTAATATCTATTAGGTCATAACATATCTTCTTTACAGATAGCTAGTTATGTGACACTGTGTTCAAACCTGCCATTCAGAAGGATTTATAAACACAACTAGCAAAAGTTGATAGCACTTAAGAAATGCTCTCAAGATAACTACCAAAGTTCAAACCACAATGGTATTAACTGAATGTCTATTCTCTGCAAAGCTTTATATATTAAAATTTTTCCTTCAAATTTATCAAAAAAAATTAATACATATGTATAGGTAAAATACTGAGAATTGGTAATACATTTAAATAACATAAACAGGATACCACAAAGTAGCATCTCAATAACTATCAAATTTACATAAGCAATACTAGATAAGCCCTTAGGATGGAGATCATAAAAGCCACTATGAGATCTTTTAAGGGCAAACAGAATGTATGTGATGAACACAAACCAGTTGTATTTCTACCAAAAAATCTTGAAAAGACATTCATAGTTAAGCATTCTTACTCTTTAGATGATTATGTGTTACTTACCGGGTCCTGAGACCCCATGCACATAACCAAATGTGCTCTCTCTCTCTTCATCAAGTATTTTGGGTAGCTTGGAGAAATCCATAGTGTTAATTTACCTATGATTTAAAAATAAGAAAGAAAAAAAGATTTAAAAATTAAGTTATAAATCCTAAAAGAATCAATATCAAGCACCCAACTTTTATTTTTGGTTTACTTTTAGTTAACGATATCTTTTCAAAGTAAAATGTAATATCAAATTCTTAAAATTTGGTTAAATCCCAAAGAGTATAGCAAAAATGATAAAACCTTTCCAATGACTAAACCAGTCCTACAAAACCCTCCTCTTCCCTAATTATCTGACTTCTTTTCCAACTACTGTGCTATCTTCCATATACACACTGAACTCTGCCACATCCCCAAAACACATGCACATTATTCATATAGGTTTTTTCCTGTCATCTTTATTTTAACATCACTTTCTTCCTGAGGTTCCTCTGTCCACTTATTTAGATCATGAAATACTTTATTCTTAGCTATTTTTTTTACCACTATACATTCCACAATGTAACAAATTATATATTTTATTTTAAATGATTTTTATGGAGCTGGGGATGTAGCTCAATAATAGAGTGCTTGTCTAGTACATATAAGGTTGTGGGTTTGCTCTCTAGCACTGAAAAAAAATAAATACAATGAAAGTTATTTATTTATTCATCTTTAATACTTACCTGAGGGGCTAGGGATTTAGCTCAGCGGCATAAGGGCATAAGTGCCTGCCTGGCAAGCGCCAGGTCATGAGTTCAATCCCCAGTATCAAAAACAAAAACAAACCAAAAAACCACTTATCTGACAGCATTTTTCTCTCTTTTTTTAAAGAAGAACACAAAATAGTTTTAAGAACATTCAAATCTCTAAAACTGTATGAAATATTTAAGTTCAAACAGAAAATTGATAATAGACTCCAGGAAAGTGTATTTTATCCTATAAATGAAACAGTAGGAAGATTGAAGGAAAACTATTAAGAGAAAAAATGGAGTGCAATCACTCCAACAGACGATAGGAGAGGCAATGCACTGGAAGGGTTAGAAGTTGAAAAAGCTAGCTAAGGCTTGAATGTCAAAAGGATTCAATTTCATTAAATGTTTACTGCACTCCTCCCATGGGAAAGGCACTCTGACAGCTTAAGAAATGAGTTGTGACTTAAATAATATACAACTATTCTCATGGAGCTTTTGCTGGCTTTACACTATACAATAAAACAAAATCGAGAAACTGACTCAAAACTGGAGAATGTGGGAGAAGTGTAGATCATGGTGGATGAATCATATACAGTGAACAGATGGCTAGAAAACTGTGAGACAGTCAAGTCTAGATAAAAATACAGAAAAGAAAAGTAAATTCTTAACTTTGGCAATTAACTAAGGCAGGATTGAGGAGTGTTTTTCAGTCTTTTTTGGAGCCACTGAAGGATTATTATACATTTCATGAAAAATAATTTATAATCCACTAGACATGACACCAAAAACTTGGGAGGGCAATTAACAATGAAGACACTAACAGTAAAGTTCTAGTTTGAGTTACTTAGTGTTGTCAGATGTGGGCTATTAGGCTAACAGGGAGGGACTGAAGGATTACAGGAAGAGTACAGAAATAGTAAAAGATGAGTGGAACCAGGCATGTGGCACATGCTCACAATCACAGCATTCTGGAAGGCTGCAGAAACACTGGGAAACTTAGTGGGACCCTATCTTAAACAACAAAACAAGGGGCTGGGGATTTAGCTCAGCAGCATAAGCGCCTTGCCTTGCAAGCAGTCATGAGCAAGCAGTCATCAGTTCAATCCCTGGTACGGATTAAAAACAAACAAACAAACAACCAAAAAAGGTGGTGATGGGGATTAGTACAAAGGCCCTCTGTTCAATCCCAGTTTCACAAAACCAAAATCCATCCATCCATCCATCAATGACTATCAGAAGTTATGAGGGAGGAATGAATACGCAGATTTTAGACCAGTGAAACTGTATGCTACTATACTGGTGAGTACATATCATTAACTATTTGTCCAAGTTCACACAATGCTCAAGAATAACCTAAATAATACACTTTGAATAAAAACAACGTAGTTTTCAGCAATTACTCTTGATAAAAAAATTAAGTTGAAGGAAGGTCAAAAAAGGAAATAAAGTAAAAATTGGTTTATTAGACTTTTTGGCTTCTCAGAGATGAGGAAGACATTGAGTAAAAAAAGTGTCGGATTAAAAAAGATTAAAAGAATCTGAGCAACTATTTCGAAGGAAACAATATGTTAATTCTCTCATCTTGTTTTGAAATATGTATCATTTTAATTGTTTTTACTGTTTTGTTTTCTTTTAACCTCTTTAACATACAGAAAACGATTAGAAGAGAAAGATCAATTTTCTAGAAACCACTAGAAAAAATAATGGGGGAAAAAGAACAAAATTTTAAGATACATGTGTAGTTAGGAAGTGAGTTTGGGAAAAGTCTTTGAAGAAGTAGTAAACACGCTAATAAGCTGAATTTCAGTCTTAGAAAATCAAAATCAGAGAGCACTTGACAAGCAATCATACTGTTTAACTTCCTTTTCCTTTATTTCATTCATGATACACAATCATCTGCTTATTAAAGGGAAAACAGCATGAGATCATGAGTCAGGAGACTGGGGATCCAGTAAAGCTCTACCCATTACATGTTGCAGATCCTCTCAACAAATCAAAATATTGTAAATTCTTCATTTGACAAATAAGAATAATGCTACCACTTACTCCAGAGATGCGGTTATATTACAAATTTGTTTAAATGCTCCTTGTAAAATGTAAAATACTCAAAAATTTTCATCAGCACTACTATTATCTGAATGGGGCCTCAATTTTGAAAAAGCCATTATACTTTTAGAAATCTCTTAAACAGAGTTTAGCCCATGACAATTTAATTCTTCTTCCCTATAACTTCTGTCTTTTGGTCAGGTAGTTTACAAATTTGATAGCCAAATTCTCTCTCTAGGGAAATCCTCCTCAATGTCTTTCACTGTCCCTCAAAGGGCAATGCAGCTCAGATCTCTCACTCCCTACAAGCTGGGGCCTAGGCTACCCTAACTGGAAGCATTTTATGACACTGTATTTCTTTTAAAACAGAGCAAACAAAATAAAAATTCTTAGATCTTTTGGCCCTCAATTTCACCATAAAATCTAATGGGGTTGTGGTAAAGGCACTTAACAGGATGCCTAACAGAAAAGGAATTCTGATGAGTACTATTTTATTGTTAATATAAGCTAAAATTGTCCAATTTCTACAAAGTGTCTAATGCATTATCTTGTTAAGTGAAACAAATCCAGGCACTTACTGTTTTTCACAGATATGACTCACTATAAATTAATTTTCTAAAACCAATGGATTTTTAAAGCTTCAATGATATCCCTGCTACTATAACATAGGTAGAAAATGTAATGGAATTAAGATACAATCTTTCCTCTAATCATCTTCTGGCATGGTGGGATAAAAACACAAATGAGTAGTTTCAATACACTGACACATGTGCTCTCACAGGAATCCCACAACATGAGTTAAAAAAGCAAAGTTATCAAACTTGGCCAGGATACAAGTAATTTAAACTGAGACTTGAAGATGGGAACCAGGAGGCATTAGAGTACACATTAAAGGTTCCCTACAAGGTGTTTCAAATCTATTGGGTGCAAGAAGGTGTCCTCAACAGTTCATGAGGCAAAATGGGGTTCATTCTGATTTTTTAAAGTAACTATTAACATACTGCCCCTTTAAAATTGAACAGTACAGGCTTCCAAATATATGAACAATGATTAATGGGAAACAAATGAGCTTGGTCATGATTCAGGGTCTTGTGGGGTTTATCACTCAGCTGGATAGTCCTAAATAGACACCATGAGAATTTTGATGATTCTATAGTTTTCAACTTCTTCAAGTTTTTAGGGATATATATGTATGTATGTATGTATGTATGTATGTGTGGTTTTGTTTTTGGTACCGGGAAGCAAACCCATGGAATATTCTGACACTGAGTTACATCTCCAGCCCTTTCTACATTTTATTTGTGACATAATCTGACTTGGTTGCCCAGGTGGGACTTGAGCTTGTGATCCTCCTGCATCAGGATACTTCAGTGCTGGATGTGTGCATCACCACATCCAGCATTTATGCAAATATTATTTAACTAAAGCCAAAGACAGCAAAGATTATAAATTGTTACATTAAACTAGTAGCAGAGTCACGTGTCTAAGTGCTAATTCTACAAATTCACCTAGAGATGATTTTACCATTCATAAATTTGATGAATCTGCATTTTAAAAAAAATCAACATTAAGAGGAAAAATTATCATGAACAATTTAGTTTTCTGAACTCCACTGTATCATATGCAAAGAAGTTGTTACAAAAATATCACACAATTGGCTCCTACTGCATGCCTGTGAGGGCCGAGGCAGGAAGATAGATATGAGTTCAAGGTCAATCTGGGCTACATAGTAAACCAGTTTGAAATACACAGCAAGAGCTTGTCTTAAAATAAACAAATTGAGCCCTTATTACGTTTCAGAATAAGACAATTATGAAAACACCAGTTTTTAAAGTGTAAAATTTCAAACACTTTTATCCACTTTTGATACATGCTTAAATTTTAACCTGTTACTGCCAAATGAACTTTTATATCTGTGCTCCTGAGATACTTGTTATATCCTTAGGTCTTTCTGTGGCTTTTTTTTTCTTTTCATTCATATTTACCCAAATGATTCCATCACAAAAAACAGTCGTTAATAGTTTTCTTATTATCACTCTCAATTCTTGCCCAGTTTTTCTTTACAGCACTCACACTGAAATATAATTTTTTAAAATTTATCTATGACTGCTTGTCCTCCCTAGAATATTAAGTTTTGTGAGAGCATAGAAAAATATGGTTAAGCTAGCAGCTACTGAGTAACTTCAAATCCCCTAAGACGGCCTCAGTTTTACAAACTGGAAAACTAACAAATGGAGTGTTTCACCCAAGATCACAAAACTGGTAAGTAGTAGAGGTAGGATTTGCACCTAGGCAGCCAGGTTCCAAAGTCTATTGTATTTTAAGTATTGTAT